ACCCTCCTCCCAGTTTGTTCTTGTCCAAATGCCACAGTGCTTGTCAAAGCCAGTTCTGATTAATCTTCTTTGTCAGTGTATCCTTTGCCATTCCCTATCACTCCTCCCTGAGAGAGACTTCACCCTGAGTCATAAGGAAAAGGGGACGGCGTATTCTCTTAGAAGAAGCTAGATGTCTTAAAAGTACCAGTCCTTTCTCCAAAACCACAGCTTTTCCAGTTTCAAGGGGATTGAGGAGGGTGGGAAGACTATAAAACCCAGTAATTCCCTAGGAGAAGGAAACTAGAGCAGATGGAACTTGTGTTCAGTGACCTCTAGGGAAACATAGTCTACTTGTCCCCTTCATCCCTGGGCCACCATATTTTTCATCTACATTAGGACTCTGCCCACCTGACTTTGCCCACATAGTTGTCCCCATCTCGAGATAGGTCTGTGGGGTCCAGAGAGATGAGGTAGTTAGAGGTTTTGCTCTTTTTACGTTTACGTCCAGCCAGAAGGAAGTGCTGTGGATGGAAGGAACAACCTGTTAACATGTATTTTTGGCATCTGCCTAAGGTTAAGGGCTCATGCCCACGACAAAAGAAAGGGGGTTGGAGCAATCGCGTCCCAAGGCCTCTCGCGAGACATGTTTATTATTAAAGGAAGTCATTTGCTGGTTCCTTAGGGGAGTTTTGCGTTTTAGCAGCAAAAGAAGACGCCTGGCTAAGGCTTGACCGCCCACAAAAAGGGGTGACACTGTCTTCTGAAGGTACTGGGGTGGGGGGGGGAGGATTTGAAGAACCTATGCGCACCTTCCGTCCATCCGCTGCCTCTAGGTACAGGTAATAAAAGGGAAACATTCCCTTGTCCATGCCACGCTTGTCCCGGCTGATGCGGCACTGGACCGTATGGCCCCGCATAGCTGGCCGCAGCACATACGCCTCCATGTCCTCGCCCAGCCGAGGCCCCGGGGCGCGAAGTGGCAAGCGAAGCGTGTTCCCCATGTCTCCGCTACCGGTGCCATCCTCGCCTTCGGGGTACTGGGGCACTTCCTCGTGAGCAATTGCACAGGCCGAGTCCTCGGCAATCAGTTCGATGTCTGAGTCCTAGATCAAGAGCAAATTCAATGTGCAAGCCCCTCGAGGCTTGTCAACCTGTCAACCGTTCATTGGCCCTCCCTCAACAATGACTTAGTTGATTGGTGACATAGTTCTGTTGGCCCAATCACGACAGATCTTGTGGGCCCACCCACCAGGAGATAGGGTCTCTGATTGGGCCACGGAACTTTAGCTCCACCCTCACCGGAAACCCAGGGTAACTCACCTCCTCCGTCCCTCTCCATCCGGATTGGCTCTTTCCTCCCACGTGGTCAGACATCAAGCAACCATAAGTCAGGTTGTCATCGATTTGAAGTTCTTCCAAGCTGGGTTCCTTGTATTCTGCTCCTTCTGTGCCATACTGGGATTCGCTCCAGGCCTCAGTACTGGACCCTGAGAAGTGGGAGAAGGTTAAGACCAAGCTCAGGATGTCAGGATGTCTCAGCGATGGAGACACACGGCCACCAGTGTTTTACCTGAATTCCTGGGTTCCCAGCCCCTATTTGTTACCTTCTCCAGAATCTCCTGTTCCCCCATGTACACAAGAGTATCCCTCTTGGAGTGGGGAGTGGAGGACAGGGAGGAGTTGAGTCCTCCCTTTCCCTGCTCTTAGATAAGCACTAAATCTAGAGGAAGCGCAAGTGGAATTTGGGATGATAATTAAAAATTCTGTCATTGAAATCAGGAAGCTCTGGTGGCCTAATGAGTAAGACGGGAGATACAAATCTATGAGCTGCTTCAGGAAGAAAGATTTGAAGTCTCCTCCCATGCAATTTATAACCTCTGAAAACTCTCTAGGAAAGTCAGCAATGTAACATTTCAGTAACTGACTTTTTTGGTCAATGGAAAAAATAACAGTCCTACAAAACAGAGATGATGATGTTGTTGTTGTTATTGTGTGCGCTGTAGAGTCGGAACGGACCCATTGCTGACCCTCCAGAGGGTTTTTAAGAGGTAGTAATTCTGTGCCTTTGGGATTACAGCACAGCCATCTACCGTTGGGCCACCAGAGTTCCCTACTGGACTAAGTGGAACTGCCCAACTGGGGCTCGCCAACCAAAATAGTGGTGGTTTGTATTCGCCAGCTCTTCTGAAGGAGAAAGATGAGGTTGTCTGCTCCTGTGACGATTTACTGCCTCAGAAAACCTGTGAGACAGCTCTAGTCTGTTCTCCAGGGTCGCTGTGAATCAAAATGGACTCTGGCAGTGGATTCGGTCCTTAACGTCATTGGCTGTTACTTCAAAGGATCCCTGGTAGCACAAGGGGTTAAGTATTGGGCTGCTAACTGCAAGATGAGCGTCAACCCCACCAAGAGAGAAAGATGAAGTGATGTCTCCCTGTTAAGATTTACTGGCTTAGAGACCTAAGGGGGGAGTCCCCATGAGTCAGAATCAACCCAAAGCAGGAGATTTGATTATGGCTTTTCATACTGCACTTAAACAATAGAATATACTTCTTGGTATTGGAAAAAAATTTGGGGGGGTATTTTTAAATGACTGAAATATAAAATTTTAAATCTCAGCTTTTGGAAGAACCACTTGTTTTTTGCCTGTCTTGTACCTCTCCTCAAAGTTGGCCTTGGCTTCTGGACTCGCCCTGCATTTAAGAGCAGAGTCTCTGAGGACATGCTTGTTGACTGACCACAAGTTTTGTCCAAGAGGACATCCACAGAGTTCCTTGTGGGTGTGAGGCGATTATAAACTTTCAAGAAAGACTTAATCTTTGACCTCTTTGCAATTTTCTTCTTGCCCATGGCAGCTGTCATTTTTTGGGGGAATAGTAGTCATCAGTTTATTTCTTTATTTATTTTAGTTTTATTATTTTTGTGTGCGAGTACCATCAAATGGGATCTGACTGGTACAGGAGGAAATTGTCCCTCCTTCTCCAGCAAAGCATCTGGTGGATTTGAACCGCGCACCTCTGGGATTGCAGCACAGATTCTTGCCAGTAGGCCACCAAAGCTCACTGGTCAACAATGTTTTTTACAATGACAGCTTTGCATCCAGAGTAATATCTGGCCAGGACCAGCACCACCTTCCCAGATTTCATTTCTTCCCCATTTCTGGTGCAGGCCATCTGCACAGAGCCAAGTCTCCTATGGAGCTGCCAAGATTTGGGTGTATTTACAGGAGGAAGCAATCCCTGGAGAAGAGATACCACGCTGGGAAAGGTACAGTGTTGGTGAAAGAGAGGAAGAACCTCAAACAGAGAGACTGACACATTGACTATAACAGTGGATGTGAACATGACATAGATTGATTGTGAGGATGTTGTGGTGTGTAGGGTTTTTGAGAGCTGTAGTCCACTTGACGGCACATAACAACATAGCTGTACTTCCTGCCAATCACAAAAGACCACCTACCGTATAATTCCACTGAATGTCCAAAATAGATAGATTTATAGAAATGAAATCTACTAAGACTGAAGAAAGCCAAGGTGTGATTGCCACAGGCTGTGTAACTTATTTTGAGAGTCGATGAGAATGTTCCATAATTGATTGTAGGGATGGCTGCACAATTCTGTAAATATGTTGAAACCCAATGTGTCAGTGATTATTTTGCTGTTGAGTTGTGACTTCTTGACCCCCGGTCGCAGAGAGAGGGGAGCTCTGGGGAGCTCCCAAGGTCTAGGTTACCTGCTGTAGTCGGGGATCCCAGGGCCCCGTGCTCGCCGCTGGCGTCTCCACCGCAGCTCATGGTGCTGATGGTGCTACTGTAGGCACCAGAGTGCACATAGGCCTCAGACATGTTCTCCTGGAGGAGGAGGGTCCTGGGACCTGGGAGAGGGTGAACAGAAGTCCACTAAAGCTCTTCAAATTCCCATCCAGGAGCTGTGTTGCCAGTGGAAAGAGCGGCTGTTCAAATCCACTAACTGCTTCATGGAGAAAGATGGACAATCTCTCAGGCTGTTTCCAGCCTCTGAAAAGCCATTGCAAGGTCAGCTATGACTTTTTTCTGACTTTGACAATAGTGAGTCAGTCTGTACCATCAAATCAGATCTGACTGGTTCAGGAGGAGATTGCCCCTCCTTCTCCAGCAGAGCATCTGTGGATTCAAACCGCATACCTCTGGGATTGTAGTGCAGCTTCTTGCCTCTAGGCCACCAGAGCTCCCTTAACAGCAGTGAGTCTGAAGCTTGTTGTGGGGTTTTTGTTCTTTTATAGTTTAAGAAGATGGGCTTTAGTGGGATAGTGGGGAGTTAAGTTGTTAACCCAAAGACTGGTGGCGATTCGAATCTACCAACTAGTCAGCAGAAATGAGAGGGACAATCTCCTCTTGTGTGATTTACAGCCTCCAAATACCTTCCGGAGGGCCAGCTATGAATTGGTTCACACTCAAACCCTCTAGGACTCACTCAATCCTCAAAGGCTTTTAAGACTCAAGCAAGCAGGCATCCACCACCATAGATGCAGAGTCCGTTCGAAAGCTATCTAGTGTTCAGCTGGTACAATCATGTCAGGAATTCAGCTCTGTATTACAAGGGTCTCACCCACAGGCCCTGCTCAAGGCCCAGCCCCCACGTTCTAGACACTACCAGGCCCCGCCCCATATGAGCCCCGCCCCTTGTGAGCCCCGCCCCGTCTGGGCCCCGCCCCATACCCCCTCTCTGGGCTCCGCCCCTATGGCCCCGCCTCCCTGGCTCTTCTGGGGGCCTCTTTCAGGTTGTGTTACCTGGCTCTTGTAGGCCAGGCCCCAGAACTCCTCTAGGCTCCGCCCCCACCTCTATCTCCTTTTGCTCTGCTCTCGTAGGCTCCACCTCCTAACTCTACCAAGCCCAATCCCGGGGTTCTGCTCAACGTGCCTGGTACCCAAGCTTTGTCAAGTCTCGCCTCTCACTCCCCCTAGACTCTCTTTGACCCCACACTCTTTCTTACACTCCAGGAACACCCCGCCTCCAGGCTCTCGAGACCCTTCCCCTAAGTTGAGTGACCCTAGGAGTCTTTGCTCACTGTTTCCACTAGAGAGGCGCTCCTCTCGCCGCCGGTGTCGCCGAAGTCTTAAAGAAGAATCAGGATTGGCTTGAACCATAAACAGCTCTTGGCGCTTCCGTCGCTGCTTCTTTTCAAACAACCGCCACTGCGGAGATGGGAGAGAGGCGACATGGGGATCAGGGGTCTGACAGGAGGACTGAGGGAGGCAAGGGGAAGCCTCCATCGGTGGTGGCAGAGTTCACAGATTTCTTTCCTTTCCCCCTGAAATTCCGTTTTCTAGGTCTTGAGACCCTCCTCCCTTAAACCCAGGAGTCTATCACCTAGTTCTCGCCTTCTTCAGACCTGGGAGTCCAGGCATCACTCCTTCCTCTCTGTGGCTCAAGCTCCTTATAGACTGGAGGGGTCTTTACCAGGATTTGCCTTGTTATGAGGTGGGTTTGAGCCACCTCCCACTCATAATGACAACACAATGAAACTCCGCCCCACCCTGCTGGACTTTATTTTCCCAATGGGCGAACCCAAGGCTCCGGGACCTGGGGTCCCAGAGCAAATTCTGAGGGAGCAGAGAGAGAAGAGAGAGGATTAGCGTTACCTGCTGCTCCAGCTTCTGCAGCCTCAAGGCATCGAGTTCATCAGTCAAGACCCTGAGGAAGATTAAAAGTCTGTAGTGGCAAAAAAGCAGTATAGACCTGGTGGCCCTTCCCTCCCCTTTTCAAGACTAGCTTGGAATTCTGAGCACCTGTGAGGTCATAGAAGCTATAGATTCTATCCAGCTACAGTTCTGATGCCCCATTCCCAGCACTGGCCTATTTAGGACCCAGGAATCAGGGCACCCAGGTCCCCTTTGTCCTAGGAGTCCAGGTCCCCAGCCCTCTCCCCTATAGACCCAGGAGTCCATCCCAATACTTTCCTAGAGCCCCTTGTGATGATACTGGACATTACAAGCACAGTTAGGGGTCAAAGAGCTGAATGGCGGGGGCCATAATCAGGCCTTAAGTTCCTCCTCCCCCCTCACCAACCCCATTTTCCTACTCACTCTTTCTTCCATCTATCCTTCTCCTGAGACATTCTGCAGAAGCAAGGATTAGTCAGAATCCAAACCCAAGATGCCAATGGGTCTGCTTCCCAGCACCTGACCCTATGACTTAAGTTCTCTCTTGGAGCCCCACTACTTTTGACTCTTATCTACTCTGGAGGAGAGAGTAAAACTGCCCTCCCTAGGGTATCCAAGGCTATAATATTTTTAAAAATAATAATAAGTATTATTATTATTATTTATTTATGTACTGTCAAAGTGGATCTGACTGGTACAGGAGGCAATTATTCCTCCTTCTTCAGCAGAGCATCTGGTGGATTTGAACCATGCACCTCTGGGATTGCAGTGCAGCCTCTTGCCACTAGGCCACCAGAGCTCCCTGAGGCTGTAATCTTTTTGGAGGTAGATGGCCACATCTTTCTTCTGTTGAGCAGATAGTAGATTCAAGCTGTACACATTTTAGTTAGGTGTCCAGTGCTTAACTGCTCCTCTACTATGACCCAGACAGCCTGAGGAGGCTGGGTTCAGCTTTTTTTATTTCCTATAGAGTGAGTCTAGGAGTTAAGTTCTCACTACCTCAAATAACCAATTCTCTGCTCATAGCCTCATCTTGAACTCGGCTAGACCTAAGCACCAGGACTCAGGCCTGGGGTCCAAACACCTGTCCGTAGCCTAGCCCCCAAGTGCCCACCTGCCCAGGAATCACTGAATTGCCAATCTCGAACATACCTCACCGTTTCTGGGAACTGAGTCTCTAATCTCAAGGTCTCTGGGAAGTCGGGGAAGAACAGAGGGCTCAGGAGGGGGAGGAAGAGGATTTCCACTGCCCTGATCCTCTGGTTTGGCAACCCCCCTCACGCTTCACTTCCCACAAAGCAGTGATCACGGACCCCTGCGGCAGCCAGGCAACACTGCTTCAGGGGTTCTGAAGTGGAACCTCACATGAGTTCCTTAAAGGGACCTGAGAGGGACGTCATGGCAGTCTCACTCTTTTAATGTGAGAAACTGTGCCTTTTTTTAAAAAAAAAATAATCAACTCTCAATTTTTATGCTTAATTTTTCCATTTCTCTCGGTTTCTTGACATATTTAAGTGTTGTTGTTGTTGTTATGTGTCATTGACCCTATGCACAGCAGCCCTGAATCCTGCTCTGTCCTGAGCCAATCTCACTAACTCTGACACACCAACCCCATTGTCCAGACACTATATCAATCCATCTCATATGAAGCCTTCTTTTCCTGCGCTGTCCCTCCACCCTTCCAAGCATGATGTCCTTCTCCAAGGACCGGTCTCTCCTTGCCACGTGCCCAAAGTATGTTAAACGAAGCTTCAAAAGCCTAGAAAATCTTTTCAGTCAATTGCACATTTGGGAGTCTATAAAGATCTTCAAAAACTCTGGCCAGTTACATATAGCTCAAATCTCCTTCAAATCTCCTTTTTTCGAACAACCTATGAATTCTCTGCATCCTTTTTTGACGTTTACGAAGTTGTGGCAGGCAGTAGCTTTGGTAATTTTCACATCCAGCTCTGGAGTAGTGGAGAGCTGGTTGCTAAGCTCCTCGGCCTTTAAAGCGAGACTCCTTTTTTTTGTGTGTACCGTCAAAGTATCTGACTGGTACAGGAGAAGATTGCCCTTCCGTCTCCAGCAGTGCATCTGGTGGATTTGAGCCACGTTCTCTGGGATTGCAGTGCAGCTTCTTGCCACTAGGCCACCAGAGCTCGCTTAAAGTGAGTAACTTTTAAAGTGAACCACGCAGTACTATGGAGTGAAAATGAATGGGGAATGCGTGTCTCACTGTCCTGTCTCACATGCTGTACAGACACTGCATTAAAGCGTTTTCATAGCGTGGGAAAAAAAAGAAAATGAATAGGGAAAAAAACTCCAGCTCCCATTACGCAATGGGGTCAAGAGATCAGCTGATGTGAACGCATTTTTCTCCCGCCCTGCAGGGAACTGTAGTTCAAGAGCCTCCTTTACTCCTTTTGCCTTTTTTTTTTTTTTTTTTAAAAAAAAGGCCGGATACGTAGTGTCAGAGAGTCTAGGCTTCCGAGAAAGGAGGCGAAGCTTTCGGGAAAAGGCGAGCAACTTCGGTGAGGGGCGGGGCCATGCAAGGCAGAGGGACCAGTCCAGAGCCAGTCTCTAGCGTGGACCAATCAGAACACGTTAGGGGCGTGGCTTTGTGGATAGAGGGCGTGGTTTTCATGAGAGGGGCGTGGCCTAGAGGGGAAATCACCAAGAACGCACCGGAGGTCCATACCCGGGAAGACGCCCTCTGCGGTGGGAGGGAGGTGAGGGTTCGGGGTGTCCACACAACAGGGTCGTGGGGAGCAGGGTGGCTCAGGGGCCGGAGGGCTGGGAAGGTGGGTCTCAGAAAACGATCGAGTGGACCTTAGAGACTCTGGGAAAAGAAAAGACCCGGTGCTTGGACTTTGGGGTTTGGAAGAGGTAGGGGCGGAGGTCTTGCATGCTAGAATCTGGGGACAAGGATTCTTAGGTTTGGGGAAGAAACAGGTCGGAGCAAGGAAAAGCTGGGCATTCACAAACCTGGGACCCGGGGGATTAGATGTTTTTGAGCATTGACTTGGATTCGTGACGGGCGGCGCGGAGGGATAGACTTCTTTAGGGTTTCCTGGGAGAGAGGAGGTTTGGGGTTCACGTTGTGCACCTCGGGGGACCCCCCTTGCAGACATCGTCGCCATGCCTCCCTCCGGGCCCCGCGCTGCCCTCCTCCTGTCGCCGCTGCTATTGCTGCTGAGCACTGTTCTGGCCGTGCCCCTGGAGCGGGGGCCGCCCAAGAAGGAGGAGAACCCCGCCACCGAGAGCCCCGTGAGTGGCCCCCACTTGCTCTCCAAGCAGGTCTTTGCCCCGTGGTCCCTGGGGAGGGGGAATCCTCTGATGGCTTTCTGGCCTTGTAGACTGGTGCGCTTTGTACTTTACCTGGCATTCTTTGCAACCCTGGGAGTTTGACGTGGTGGAAAAAACTGGGGTGGGGACAAATTTCCAAGTGCTGTGCTGTTCCACACTGGATTTAGGAGATTTGGGGATTCCGGTTTGATTTTAAATGGTAAATCTGTATCATGCACCTATACCTCTCTTAAATTCACCCCACAAGAATTTGCAAAAAGAACTACAATTCCCAGAAGCAACATGGGTAGGTGATGTTAGTTTGCTTGCAGTGTTTTTAATCCCATAGAGCCCACGAGAGTTGTAGTTTTGGGGGTTTTTGTTTGTTTGTTTTCAATTTATTTATTAATTTTAATGAAAGTTTACAAAGACTTAGAATTTCCAGTCATTCATTGTTGCACTTTTCTCCCTGCCTCTTACCTCCCCCCCCCAATTCACTCTTCTCCTTGAAAAGAAAAACTCTTTCATTGTTATGAAGTCTCTCCCCACAAGTCCATTCCACTATGCAGCCTTCACTGTGGACTTCTGTAATGACAAGAATACCCATACATATATCCCTTTTAAATAGATCTCTTCCTCATCTGTTTCAATGCAATATACATCATTCCTCCCCTCCTTTTTTCTCTTAACCCTGATGTCAGTCCCATTTTACAACAGTGGCCCTTATGCAGTATTTGTCCTTTTGTGCCTGAGATATTTCACTCAGCATAATTTCCTCCAGCGTCATGTATTTTGCCTAGTATTTCATGAATTCTTTGTTTTTTAAAGCTTCATAGTATTCCATTGTGTGAATATACCAGAGCTTCTCTATCCATTCACTTGTTGATGGGCACTTGGGTTGCTTCCAGCTCTTTGCTATTAAGAACAAAGCTGCAGTAAATATGGGTGTGCGAAGAGGTGTAGTTTTAAGTGACAAGAGCCACCTGGAACCTCTGCTCGCCTGTTTATTAATCTCAACACGTGTTTATTGAATGCTACAGTAATTTTCACCTCTGGGGAAGATTTAAAGATCCATTTTCCCCATTTGTGGTCTGAATTGTCCAATAATTCCCTCTTGGGTCATGCATTTTGTGTTGATTCTGACTCAGTGTGGCCCCATGTGAAAGATTAAAATGACCCTGTAGGATTTCTTAGGTTGTAATCTTTCCATATTTTAGTGGCTTAGTGAGAAGTAGTTGCCCTGCTACTCTAAAGGTACACAGTTCAAATCCACCAGATGTTCCTCCAGAGAAAGTTGGGCAGTTTCCTCCTGTGCGATTTACAGCCTCTGAAAACCCACGTGGAGAATCAGCTATGAGTTGGTGACTTGATGGTACAGCACCATTGTACAGGAGCGGATTGCCAGCTCTTTGCGGTATAGGTACAGACAACCCTTATGCCATTACAGACCAACCTTGCTTGCTCAGCGTTAAAGACAAAAAAAAGGACAGAGTTCTGGGAGGATGGACATCAGGGGTGATGTTCAGAGAAGGAGGGCTGCTTGAACTAAGATCTAATGTGTGTGTGTGTGTGTGTGTGTGTGAGAGAGAGAAATATTGTGAGTGATACAGGAAGTGGAGGGAACAGCATTCTAGCCAAAGGGAACAGCATAGGCGAGGGAAGTATAGGAGGAAGTATAGTGAGTGGAGGGAGGTCCATGAGGACCGTGTGGGTGGATAAAATGGAACAAAGAAGCGAGAGCAGGATAGAAAATTAATTCAGAGACTAGGGCCAAGGGGAGCTCTGATGGCCTAATGGCAAGGAGCTGCAACTACAATCCCAGAGATGCACGGTTCGAATCCACCAGATGCTCT